TGATACTCTGAAAGCACAAGGATTGTTGTAAACCTTTTCATTATAGTAAATTAAAACTAATGAATCATATTAATTGTGTGAAGCTTTTAAAAACCTGCAAATCAGAAATCCTATTTGTGCAGCAGATAATTGTAGGCTGCAAAGGCCAGAACTGCGAGAGCTCAATTCAGTCATTCAAGGGAATGCTTTCATTAATTATTTCAATCATTCATTGCTCCGATCATACAGGGTTAATAGTAATGTATTGTGAGCAGCACAGTGTGTGAGCTGTTCTAAAGCCATTCAAGGCTGCAAGCTGAAAGGAGGATTCTGATTAGGAAAAGGAACGCGCTAAGCAGACGAGAAGGCTGCATTTGTCTCTGCCTTTGGTCTCATTTTTTAAAAAATACCATTAAACCAAAAACCCTGTTAAAAATCTGCCTTTCACCCAGAGGTCATCTGGGAGAATGCTTAGCAGACGGTTGGAGTGAGTGTCAGCTGGGAGGCCTCTTCTCCCCTCATTAAATCATGTGTCCATGCCTGTTTGTGAATGAGCACTCAGTTCCTGGACACCTGCTAAGCTCAGTGAGGGAAAGGACCTGCCTAGACTCAGGAAAGCACAGGGGTAGGACTCCATTAGCTTTCCGAATGGAATCCTCCTCCATTTGTTGATGTTGGCTGCACCGCTGCTGTCTGGACTGTGTAGCTGTCTGGACGTTATTGCATTATGCAGACAATCCATGTAATTTTAGAATTACAAAAAATATGCAGTCTCCGCTTCCTCCCATTTGTGTTTGTGTAAAGGGGACAGGGGAAGAATGTGTAAAGGTGAAAAGGGGAAGGCTTGGTGTCAGAGCAACTCGGGGGGGGGGGGTTTCCTTTGGTAAAAGCAAACAATTCCTGGGCTTTTGCCCAAGTTTAATGCATTCTGCATCATGACTGAAGAGACCCGAGGCTCAGAAATGCAGAGTCTAGCATCCATGCAAAGGGCTAGAAAATCATGTACGATCCTGTAAGTGCTGGGGGATGGATGGATGGATGGATGGAAGAGGGAAAAGATACAGAGATGTCTTAACACTTGCCTTCACATGAAATTTAAAGATCATAGCTCCATCCCACATCCCAGATTTTCTCACTATCACATAGCTTCCATTGCTGGCAGGGCACTGAGTTGGAAAGAGCATTCTTTTTTGTAGTGAAAGAGACTGTCTTTCTCTTCTTTTAGAGGGAGATCAGTACAGAACCATTCAAGGGCTTGCCCATCCAAAAGTGATCATTTCCAATTGCAATGAGCTATTCTAGGAAGACTCTCTGCACTCTCTTTGCCATCCGTTTCTAAAACTGGCTGTGTTTCACATGATGGGTTTATTTCTATTTAAGGAACAGGGGAAATAGAGGACTTTTCCCATTGCCATAAAAGGAGACTCTGGGTCTGATCCTCTGCTCTTTCACTCAAATTTTACCTTGGTGTAATTCCACTGAATTCAGTCAAGCAATACAGAGTGGAGAATCAAGCCCATATGCTCTAGGCATCCATTGATATGTGTCACTGCCCAGACACATTGTCATAAAATGCCCTTCCAGCTTTTCCCTTCCCATTCTCTGGCCCGCTGAGTTCAGAGAATCAGATTTCTCTTGTGAAACGTTCTGGCCTTTGGCTGAGTTTGAAGCTTTCTTTCTGCACAGTGGGAACATGTCAGGAGGGCAAGGCAAAATCCACTTGGGGCTCCCCCAAATCTCACTCATTCCGATAGTTCCTGTGTGGCAAATGTGGACTACTCCACCACATAGAAATGGATTAGCTTTACCCTAGCTTTGTACTGCTGACCGTGCTGTGCTCACCGGATACTGTCAGTGCCTATCTATTATTCTGTCACTGCCAGGAAACCAAACAGCCCAGGGCGAGGATTCCTAGGGAGTGGAAGCTAACAGTGGGGTGCACTTTGGCCATCACTGTCTGCCAGTTCTAAGCTTTCCCAAGGCATAAAGTCATTAGAGTAGAGGAAATAACTAACTCCTAGATCTGGCTGTGAAATGTTTTCCCTTTCAGAGCAAGAAATATGCATGGTTCTGACTGGAGCTGGTTGAACTATTCATTTAGAATAATACTTGTTATGAATTTAGCTCCTTTCTGGATTAGCAAATAATCCATAGCCGGATCCTAATTTCAGCTAATTTGTTCATTACCCCTCGTGTCTCACCATGTAACAGTCAGCCTCGTGGTTGTGAGCTGTTCACTTTGACTATTTACTACATATATTGTGTGACAGCTGAAACTTTTTAAATAACAGAAGAGCCAATGATGCATCTGTGCTAAAATGCGTGCCCTTTTTCACAACATCTGACAGTTGCTGAATACTCACAAACAACAGATCAGACCCCACAACTCACAGTAACCTGAACTGGGATATTTTATCCATGGATCAGAGCGGCTTCTCATTGTTTGGCCAGCTCTACCTCTGACAACCCACCTGGCGTGGTCAGAAGTGGTCTGGCCTGACCTTTCGCTCTGCTTAGTTCTCCAGGTGCTCTGACTGGCTGGTGGATGGCATCATTAAATAAAATGCTGTTTCAGTTAACATTGATTTGATCAGGTGAGAAATAGGGTGTCCTCATCTGAACCTAGTGGAAAAGGAGTCCAGGAATCCTGCAGTTAGTGAGTTCACACAGGTGTCTGTGAAACTGCTGGGAACTAACCACAGAGAGACCTACTGAAGACTGTCAGCAAACGTGGACTAGCAAAGGGACACTGGTTTTCTTCATGTAGCCTGGCACACAAAGAGGCTGAGAAACTGAGAATGTTAATATTCAAATAGCCAGCTCGAAGAGCTTGCACTAGGAAAATCCTGCTTGGGTTGAGCAATAGTGACATCCAGTGGCTGTTCCTATGGATCTCTTCGAAACCAGCTCACGTCTCCCCTGCCAACATGTTTTACGTCCATGGCCCAGAGATAAAAACATTCTTAGCAGAGGGCAGCAGGGAGTTGCCCAACACAGCACCAAACTTGGAAGCACAGTGACACTAAGTCCCAGATTTAGGTACCAGTCGCATTCAGAAGACCCCCCTCAGCTGCCACCGAGCCCTGTAGGTGCCTAAACCTACTTGGAGCCTAAGCTTTTGCAGAGAACGTTCCCCAGGTTGCCTGTGTTTCTGACTCTGGACATGTGCACTGCTGCTTCGCTTTGGGCGCCCAGACACCCAAGCTCCTGTGCAATGCATGGACCAGCTGCTGCGCCTAGTTTGCCTGTGAGGCCCAGTATGATAGACATACACAGAGCATGCCTCACTTCACAAAAAATGGGGGGACAGGGTTTGTGGGGGAGGTGAGGCCCTCCCTCATAACGTCCGGTGCAGTGGTTAGGGTACTCTTCTGGGATGTGGAAGACCCCTGGTTCAAGTCTCTCCTCTGCCCGATGCGGAAAGGGAATTTGAAGAGGGTTCTGCCGTCTCTCTCATAGCCACTGGACTGTGGGATATGCTGGTGTGGATAAGAGAGAGCAAAAGCAGGCATGAGAGTGACTGTGTAGCCTGGTGGGTAGAGCTCTCACCCTGGAGCCTGTGCTCAGATAACTCTGTGTGTTCAAAGTGGAGCCACTTCAATAGAAGATAGTGACGCTGACACACATGGGAATGTTCCTGGTCAGTTCCTTCTCCCCCAACAACTGGGCTAAATGTTATGAGGAAGGCGGCTGTTACCCCTCTTCCCCCCAGATTCTTGCAAGAAATTCCTGAGGTGCCTGACTCTGGGTGAGGGCTCACAGCTGAGAATACCAAGCCCAGATTTACATGCCAAACTCCCCTCTCATTGGCTAGCTTAGGCGGCTCCCTGCCTAGCATGCTGGCGTTGGTGGATCCTATTCTTAGGCACCTGTCTGCCTCCATTCCTTGTATAGGACGCCTGAGCACCTAACTCAGGCTTTGTGAATCCTGGTGATTTTCTAAGTGTCTTTGTTCCTTTGTGACTCTAGCCCCATGGCAGTTAGAATGTGCACTTTATCCAGCACCTATCGCACGCTCGGTGCTGTTGATGTATTAATCTCATTTGTATTGGCAGCAACATCTAGGTGTCAGGTTAAGGATCAAAGCCTTATGCTGCTAGGCATTCGACAGAGATGCAGAAACTGCCGCTGCCAGACAGAGCTCAGAGTCTTAAGTTATGACTAGAACTGGTCAAAATATGGGAAGGGTAAAATTCACAGAATTTTTTTATGGTTTCCCCTGGTGTTTGTTTGTTTGGGAAGGGGCAGTTTTGATGTCTGAAACGTTGACAGAATTAAAAAAAAATTCACCCACCTCTAGTTATGTCCACATGTGACTAATGGAAGAGACAAACAAAGGGGAGTGGTGACATGAGTGAGATAACCGGAAAAACAAGCATTTGGTAGAGATGTGGCGGATTTCCACCTGCCTAGACACTGCCAGCTGGTAGAGCTTTGCAGGCATCATGGCAGAGAAAAGTCCTGAAGAGGGGCTTAAAGGAAGAGAAAGTGTGGCTTTGTGGCTCTTATCAACGAGCTTTTCCCATTCATAATGGGAGGCCTGGGAGAATGCGTGGAGGTGTTTGAGGGAGCAGCAGATGTGATGGCTGAGTATGCTGGCACAGCAAAGGCTGCAGTCAGTGTTATGCCAAAATAATAGGTCATTGAGCTATGGAGGGGCTAAATTGGGAAGGGGCCTTAAAGCTAAAGGGTTGTGTTTGAGGTGGTGGCGAACAGCCAGCAGAGGGATGCAAATGGTGGGAGGCTGGTTAAAGCAATGAGCCAGAAAGGTGATTTTAGCAGCAGCCTTTGAATGAACTACAGGAGGTGAGACTGCAGACATCAAGGGCAGAGAGGAAGAGGTTGCAGGTATCAGACACAAGATGATAAGGGTCTGGACAGCAAAAATATCCTTTTTTCATCTAGTCCACTCAGAGCTCCTTTGAGCACTCGGAGTTTAACACAGAAGTTGATTATTTCAATATATTTGTGTCTATTTTGCATGCTTGATGGATTTTTTTTCCTGTTTTGTTTTTTTCCAGGAACCAGTGAAGACCTATTCCAAGATTCCGAAGGGAGGGAGGGATCCGAGCCTATTGAGGAGCACCAGTTTTCAGACCTAGAGGAATCTGACGATGACGATGACAATGAAGATGATGAAGATGAGGAGGAAGAGGAGAGCCAAGATGAGCCACCTTTAAAGTTTTCAGAAGCAAAACATACCTCCCTTCCAATGCACTCTTCGGGCAGCTCTCCATCTGCTCCAGAGGAATGCACAGGAGCAGCATTGTCTTTAACACAAGATATTGTCTCCAGCATCCAACAAGTAGGCAGGGGCCACCAGACCACTTCCTCAGGGCTGGAAACAAAATGGTCAGCAGACAGTAGCGAAGTTGCTGTTTGCCACAGCTTCTTGAGTCTCCATAGGCCAGCTTTGACCTCCAGTGAACATTTGGCTTCTGCTGAAAGGGAATCTGTCACAAAGCAGCACATGTTCTTAGCTATGGACCTGTCAACCTCAGAAGACACCTCCCCAAGAAAGAAGTGGTCTCCAGGCAAGGACTCTGGTGGTGGTGGCGGCAGCGGCAGCAGGCCAATGCTAGCTAGAAAGCACTTGTTAACCAAAAATGAAACTTCACCGAAACGTTTCTCGCCAACTGGAGAAATGTCTTCACTAAGGTGCCTGTCTCCAGGGAGAGGGATGTCACCGTGTCAGCGCATGTCACCGAGAAGGGAGGCATCTCCACTGAGATGTTTGTCACCAAGGCTTGAGCTGTCACCCGGCAGGCACCCTTCCCCAAGAAGAGAGTTATCCCCAAGAACGTACCTCCCACCAGAGAGGGGGGTCTCCCCTGTGGGGCATTTGTCTCCCAGCAGAGAGATGTCATCAGTCAGATATTTATCACTGAAGAAAATGTTGCCTCCAGCCTGTTCAGAGTCACTTTCTAGATATCCATCCCCAGGGAAAGAGGACTTGCCTTGTAGCAGCAAATCAGCTGCAGATGACCAAGTTCAAAGCTCATTAAAACTCCAGCATGGATTAGCTTCAATGCCTCTACCTCACAGGTTCCTTGGCAAAAGTGCAGAGCTGTATGAGTCCAAGTCGGTAAGCTCCAATTCTTCTTCTGTGTTCATATTTTCTATTCATCTTTGTAAATCCTTTGATTTTCTTTCATGGATATTGTCTAGTGAAAGATGTCAGATTGACTGATATCCTCTGCTGAGTCACAGGATGGGTGCTACACAGGTAGCAGCAAGTGCGTGTTTTCCACCCCATCACTTTTCCTCTGCACCCCTTTTCTCTCCCTTCCATTTCTTCTCTCTCCTCTTCCTTCTTCCCCCTTCCGTTTCCTCTCTCTCCCCCTGCTTTTCCCTCACACACCCACGCCGTTTTTTTTTTCTTTTGTGTGTTTTTGTTTTTAAAGTTAAGGGTTAATGCCATGCTGTGTGGAGGAATGACTTCTAAAGGATGGGAGGATATTCATTATCTGTGGCTCACTCAGTCCTTGGCCTTTGTGCTGAAGAGGCAACAAGGTGGGAAGGGCACTTACTAAAGACTGAGGTTGTGGTTTTGTGATAGGGACACTTGTTCTATAGGAATTTGAGACCCACTAACTCATTTCTTAAATGCCATGAATAGCCATGATATTCTAGATATGTTCCGTTTCTACGGACCTGAACCAGATTTGAACCAGTAAAGGCGAAAGTTCTTGTCGCCATTACTAATCCCATCTAGCCTTCCAGCCAACTCCATTACGTTAGCTGTTGAGAAACATTTATTTGGGCTTCTCATCTCACTCACTTTCTCAGACCAACTAGGTATTTTCCCCGTTGGGTCAAAAAAACAATTAATTCTGCCTTTGCTGGACACATCACATCCTACATGTAAAGGGCGTTAGTGTGTTTCTCCCATACATATAGATTAAAGAGGACACGCGGTTTGTAGAGAAATCTCCCACTTCCACTGTTACTGCCACAGCTCTCCACAGAAAGTCTGTATGTGCCTGGCTCTCATCTGAGGGCTTGTCTACATGGTGGGTTAGTCTGAACTGAAGCGTGCGCAGAGTGTGTTGCACACTAACAGGCCATGTAGACCCTGCTGGCTCAGACTGAAAATTCCCTAGTTCGAAACTGTACGATGTTAATGCATGAATAAGCCCTTGTGTGAACAAGACCTAAGTTACACTGGTGCAAATCAGGAGTAACACCACTGAAGTCAGCCAGTGCAGTTACATTGCTGTGAAACTGGTGTGCGCCTGTGGAGAGTGTTCTGGGGACAGAGAGCTCTTACAGAACTTCTGCCATAGTACTCTCCAACCATGTAGCCCAGTGTGTGTTTTTCCTTGTCTGTGGTTTTTCCCTATCAGGGATGTGGCACTGATTTCCCTTGGGGTTTGTTTGTTTAATTCTTTTCATTTATAACTTCAAACACTATCCCTGGGTTAGGCCCAGACTTTCACCCACCATACAGCTATTTCAGTCTACTGTGAAATAATCTTGGTTTTGTTCAATATCTTCATAAATGATCTGGAGGATGGTGTGGATTGCACTCTCAGCAAATTTGCGGATGATACTAAACTAGGAGGAGTGGTAGATACGCTGGAGGGTAAGGATAGGATACAGAGGGACCTAGACAAATTGGAGGATTGGGCCAAAAGAAATCTGATGAGGTTCAACAAGGATAAGTGCAGAGTCCTGCACTTAGGACGGAAGAACCCAAAGCACCGCTACAGACTAGGGCCCGAATGGATCGGCAGCAGTTCTGCAGAAAAGGAACTAGGGGTGACAGTGGAAGAGAAGCTGGATATGAGTCAACAGTGTGCCCTTGTTGCCAAGAAGGCCAATGGCATTTTGGGATGTATAAGTAGGGGCATTGCCAGCAGATCGAGGGACGTGATCGTTCCCCTCTGTTCGACATTGGTGAGGCCTCATCTGGAGTACTGTGTCCAGTTTTGGGCCCCACACTACAAGAAGGATGTGGATAAATTGGAGAGAGTCCAGCGAAGGGCAACAAAAATTATTAGGGGTCTGGAACACATGACTTATGAGGAGAGGCTGAGGGAACTGGCATTGTTTAGTCTGCAGAAGAGAAGAATGAGGGGGGATTTGATAGCTGCTTTCAACTACCTGAGAGGTGGTTCCAGAGAGGATGGTTCTAGACTATTCTCAGTGGTAGAAGAGGACAGGACAAGGAGTAATGGTCTCAAGTTGCAGTGGGGGAGGTTTAGGTTGGATATTAGGAAAAACTTTTTCACTAGGAGGGTGGTGAAACATTGGAATGCGTTACCTAGGGAGGTGGTAAAATCTCCTTCCTTAGAAGTTTTTAAGGTCAGGCTTGACAAAGCCCTGGCTGGGATGATTTAATTGGGGATTGGTCCTGCTTTGAGCAGGGGGTTGGACTAGATGACCTCCTGAGGTCCCTTCCAACCCTGATATTCTATGATTCTATGAATTATTATATAAATTGTACACACACCCCGAATGTGACACTGGATTCTAAACCTCCCTGTCTCTCTGTTTGCAAGTTCATGATAACCCTTGAAAATTTTAGAATCCCGTACAGCAGAGGTAGCTCTCCAGCCTAAGCAAATTGACAAACCAGATTCCCAGACTGTAATGACATAACTGACTATGTCATTAATGATGCTTTTGGCAAACAAGGAGGTAAATAATCCAGTCCCTTTGAAGAGTGGTTATAATCAGAAAAGTGACCTCTTCTTAGTCCATTTGTCTGCTCTTTGGGCAGCCCCTAGTCTCCTCTGTTCATTTTACTGACACAGAGAAGTTTTCGCTCCCGCTAGACTTACAGCACCAGAGCAGCTATGAGAGATGGAGCTGGAGCCTATTCTGCTTCACCCATCATCACTGAGATTGTCAGCTGAGTTTTCACCGCAGAATCTTTATTCCTGATGACGATGCAGGAGGCAAAAGATCAGAGCTGGATTTTCCAACCCAAGGTGGTGTTTGCAGGGACAGCAATTAGAAAAACAGATTCTTGAGTTATAAAGGAATAGCATTTGATCTGGAGTCCCTGAGGATGAGTAACCAGGGACCTCTATTGTGTCATTTCTCCCCATGTTATGGTGACAATATTTTTTATTGGAGTCCAGCTTGGAGGCCCTGGAAAGCTTATGCTCAAATACATTTGTTAGTCTCTAAGGTGCCACAAGTCCTCCTTTTCTTTTTGCAGATACAGACTAACACGGCTGCTACTCTGAAACCTGGAAACAATCAGTGTCCATTGTGTTAGGTTCTGAACAACCATATACCAAGCCGTGGTCCCTGCCCTGAAAGGCTTCCATTAAGAGTGCTCTGCTGTTTGCTGGGTAGACAGAGGCTGGAATTGCTGCCTAAATGTCATTCAACCTTCTCTGAAATCCAAAGAGTTTCCCCATATGTAGGACTTCAGATATGGGGAGTGGATGCAAAGGAACATAAACCAAGGGCCCTTCCACTTAAGTCCTTTTGCCGCACAGACTGGGCCAAGATACTAAAGCAACTAGTTTCGAAATGTCGTCTGCTGGTGTCTGATATCCATACCCTTGCTTTGGTATGTTTATTTTTAAGGATAAAGAAGCGAGAGTGGAGGCTGTAGGGCAGGAGCATCCATAGACCTGAGGGAACAGATGCTGCACAAAGCCTCAGAGCAGAGCATTTCTCCATGGCCTACAGCTAGCACTGTGGCTGTTTCCTGCCCCGTCTGGATTTTTGGACGGTCATGCTGTGGAGTATGCAGCAGCGCAGTGCTGCAGAAAGACAGTTCTACCAGGCAGAGCTATTAAATAGGGAAACATTACAATCGTATCAGTGACCCAGCTTGTAGGGTCACAATATAAAGCACAAAAAGAACAGGAGGACTTGTGGCACCTTAGAGACTAACCAATTTATTTGAGCATAAGCTTTCGTGAGCTACAGCTCACTTCATCGGATGCATAAAGTGGAAAATGCAGTGAGGATGTTTTATACACACAGACCATGAAAAAATGGGTGTTTATCACTTCAAAAGGTTTTCTCTCCCCCCACCCCACTCTCCTGTTGGTAATAGCTTATCTAAAGTGATCACTCTCCTTACAATGTGTATGATAACCAAGGTGGGCCATTTCCAGCACAAATCCAGGGTTTAACAAGAACGTCTGAAGAACCGGGGGGGGGGGGGGGGGACCAATGGGAAATAGGTTACCTTGCATAATGACTTAGCCACTCCCAGTCTCTATTCAAGCCGAAGTTAATTGTATCAAATTTGCAAATGAATTCCAATTCAGCAGTCTCTCGCTGGAGTCTGGTTTTGAAGTTTTTCTGTTGTAATATTGCAACTTCATGTCTGTAATCGCGTGACCAGAGAGATTGAAGTGTTCTCCGACTGGTTTATGAATGTTATAATTCTTGACATCTGATTTGTGTCCATTTATTCTTTTACGTAGAGACTGTCCAGTTTGACCAATGTACATGGCAGAGGGGCATTGCTGGCACATATCACATTGGTAGATGTGCAGGTGAACGAGCCTCTGATAGTGTGGCTGATGTTATTAGGCCCTGTGATGGTGTCCCCTGAATAGATATGTGGGCACAGTTGGCAATGGGCTTTGTTGCAAGGATAGGTTCCTGGGTTAGTGGTTCTGTTGTGTGGTATGTGGTTGCTGGTGAGTATTTGCTTCAGGTTGGGGGGCTGTCTGTAGGCAAGGACTGGCCTGTCTTCCAAGATCTGTGAGAGTGATGGGTCGTCCTTCATAATAGGTTGTAAGTCCTTGATCATGCGTTGGAGAGGTTTTAGTTGGGGGCTGAAGGTGATGGCTAGTGGCGTTCTGTTATTTTCTTTGTTAGGCCTGTCCTGTAGTAGGTGACTTCTGGGTACTCTTCTGGCTCTGTTAATCTGTTTCTTCACTTCAGCAGGTGGGTATTGTAGTTGTAAGAATGCTTGATAGAGATCTTGTAGGTGTTTGTCTCTGTCTGAGGGGTTGGAGCAAATGTGGTTGTATCGTAGAGCTTGGCTGTAGACAATGGACCGTGTGGTGTGGTCTGGGTGAAAGCTGGAGGCACGTAGGCAGGAATAGTGGTCAGTAGGTTTCCGGTATAGGGTGGTGTTTATATGACCATCGCTTATTAGCACCGTAGTGTCCAGGAAGTGGATCTCTTGTGTGGACTGGTCCAGGCTGAGGTTGATGGTGGGATGGAAAGCACAGTATAGCATGGCCTGATTTCAGTTACGAAAACATCGTCTCCCTGGTGGTCGGTGACCTCAGTAGTGAGCTGCCCGTCTCAGGTCACCTACAGTCTGAGATCCCAGGTGTGACTGTGACACTTAGAAATAATGGTAAGTGAAGGTTCAGTGAGTGCTCTAATCTTTATGAAGGAAGGAAGTACTCTTATAATCATAGGAAGTGATATAAAAACCATTTTAGACCAGCCAGTGCAAGATTAGATCAGCCTATTTAAACAGGGTGAAATTCTCCCCAGTGCAAAGGCTTTGTACAAGGTCCTACACAGACACCACTTAAACCCTTAAAGTAGGGCTTAATTGAAGCATAAATTGTGTGTAAAACCACTTCCCCTCTCATTGGCTGTTGCACAGACCACCTCCTCCTTCTCTTTGTGTTCTCCTAGGGGACATCTACGCAGCAAAGAAAACCGCTTGGCTGCTCCCTGCCAGCTGACTCATGCTCACAGGGCTTGGGCTGCGGATCTGTTTCATTGCTGTGTAGACTTTCTGGAGCCTGGGCTCTAGGACCCTGCAAGAGTCCCAGCCGGAGCTCTGGGAGCTCCAGTCAGCTGGCATGGGCCAGCATCTGGTTTTTCATTGTTGTGTAAACAGACCCCTAATCACCTAGTGCACCTCTGTCAATAGCTTGCATTCGAGAAGGGATATTAGGCAAGAGTTTGGGTTTTTAACTGCCTGCAGTATGGTAAATATTTTGTCCATTTACACTGACTGCTTTTGCTATCACTTTCCCTTTTGTCTCCAATCTCTTCTCATAGAACCAGCATCATGGGAGCAGCTGGTCCTCTACAGACCATAACTGGGAGCATGGGTCCTGCAGTAAATTCTCAAATTCTGTGTTCAGCCCAATTTTAAGGATCATCTGTTGAGAATTCCACCACTTCCTCTTGGGGGTCCTGTGTGGTGGTTAGCTGTAATAATCCCCTTGGTAACCCATTTCTGTGTAACCCACATTTCTGGACATGACATAGGTCAGAAAACTATGTGAAACCTAGAGACAGAGTGAAGAACAGGCAAAAAATAACTTGATAGAGTCATGCAAATTAGTTCCTATAAAACAAGAACTGATCCTGTCCATCCCTGAGAACTCAAACTCAGTCCAAAACGCAGCTTTGTACTTAGAAATTGTTAGGGTTTAAGGTTTCTTTTTAAAAAAATGTCACTCTACTGCTCTTCACTGTGCCAGGCAAAAGCAGAAGAACTAGAATATAGGAAGAATAGTCTTTCTTGTGGTGGTGTTGATCTGTTTCAAACTCATGGGGGAGCTTTGGGAAAGATTCTGACATAGAGAGGGCCTGAATCAAAACCCTAGATCTGTACCCCACCAGCCTTTGTAAATGGTTGAGTCCAGAACCAAATTTCATGGCTCAGGCCGCTCTCTATTCTGAACAGAACCTGCATATCTTTTGAGGTTTGCGCACCCCTTTACATTCCAATAGAACGTTAATAAAGCCAGTCAGTGGTTGCTCGTGCTGTGGAGTGATGATCCTAGGAGCTATAACCCTCACTCACTCTGCTCTTTTTTCTCTCTTAAATGCAGAAGATAGAACCTCGAAGCCCAGCATGTTCACCTGGCATCACACAGCCTGTCTGCTCCAAACCCTTGCAAGCATCCCATGAACTACATGTCCATGCTCCGAGCCGAGGGGAAGAGAATGTCTTCAGCCATCTTCCGCTGCATTCACAGCAGCTAACAAGGACTCCATATCCTATGATTCCCATTGGGGGCATCCAGATGGTCCAGGCCAGGCCAAGTACCCATCCCAGTTTGATGCCCAATTCAGTTGTGTCCCTGCAAGCAGGATATTTTTCACCTGGTGGCAATGGCAGCAGCAGCTTTACAGAATCCAGCCAGGCTGAGGAAAGGGGCAAGGAACCACAGGTCCCACAAGAATCTTCATCCATATCCCTAGCTGCGAAGGTTTCTAAATACACACTGTCCCCACAGCTTAAAGGCAGCGGCTACTTAGAAGAGAAAATGAGGACTAGTGAGCATCAGCAAAAGACAGAACAGGAGGAATACAGGGTAAAAAAGTATGGTGAGCCCAGCCACTCAGAGCAAGAAGGCTGCTCAGCTCCCACCGACTGTCCGAGCACAAATTATGAGCACTCTCCAAAGCCTTCAACAAGCGGGGAAGAACCCTTGAAAAAAACGGGCAAGAAGCAATGTGGCAGCTCAAGCACTTACTTTGAATCATCCTGCACTTTCATCTCAGATTTCCCCGCACAGACGTTGGACAGAAGCAGCAGCACCGGCTGCTTGTCGGAGCCCTCATTGAGCCATTCACACTCCCACCAGTTCTCCGTTAGGAGAAGGAACCTCTCGGGAGAGCCAAGTCACCAAGGGGGAACCCATAGGAAGAGCAGCCCGCACTTAGAACTCACACGGTTCAGTCAAGCTCAAAGGCAGGTGGATGAGAATACAGGAAGTACTTAAATCTCCATTTATCTCTTCCACCTCTAGGCTTCCTGTGTAAATCAACAGACATTTTCAACACTATTTCCTTTACTATAATCATCGCTATACAAAGCACTCTAGTGTATGACCAAACCCATGGAAGATTCTTGGTTTTCTTTGTCCCAGTCTGGTATTATCTCCACATGTATGCAGTTACTTGTGCCTTTTTCTCTACCTTTTGTTGCTTGAAATGTACAAAAATGTTTGAGGCTGTGAATATTTTTTTAGAGTTTTTTGGAAAGGGGTTTGTTAGACCTTGTCTTTTTTGCCATTTAGGTGTGTGTTCATATATGCTCGAGAGATGCAGAAAGGAAAAGGTTAAGCATTTTAAGGGGGAAGAAGATGCACTGAAAACAAAAACAAAAAATCTTTTTTAATATTGATTAAATGATTAAAAAAACAAACCCTTTCTCCTGTGTACAGAAGTTTATGATTCATATTTATTACCTGCTTTATTTAATTCTTGGCAAAGTGCTTTTTTTTTGTTGTTGCATCACTCTGGTTGCCTATCTTTGTGCTTTAAACAGTTGCGACTGCTTTACATTTGAAAATGTGTTTACCCTGAATTGTAAATGAAACTAGCACTTATTTTAGAATGGAAGGCCCATTAGCAATGAATGCAAACATCACTCCAAAAAGAAAAAAAAATCTCAACGCACCTCCCTTCTGCAGAACCCATAAAAGCACTTTTTTTAAAAGCGACAAAAGGGTTCTTCAAATATTTAACTGCAAGAAAACAAGGAGGTATCGAATGTAGAACCAGTTCTGGGAATGGCGTTTCACGGTTTGTAAAAGGGCCATTCTTAGGCGTGCTTTAATAGTGACATTCCAGGACTGGCTGCTCTTACAGGGCACAGTCTGCTAGTGGTCCTGCCTGTGTCACCCCGATGCCCCGTTTTCTGGGGTTTCAAAGCCCCCTGTCACCATTCGCTCCTGGGTTCAAAATGAAAATAAAGTCTCAGCCTTGCAAACAACTTTTGGCCATACCTTTATTTATATTTCTACAGCCCTTGCCTTCCCAAACAATTCCCATGCGGCCCTTTTTAAGGAAAAAGTTATAGGGATGCAATGAAGAGCTCATGTGCTCTTTTATTTGCACACCTATGGCTTTGTAACCCACAACTGGCTCCATGGCATATTTTATTTTATTTACTTATTTAAATGAAATGTTGCAAACACCTAGCCTCCATTGTGTGGAGGGGCCTTTTGGGTATTTCATAAACAGAGGTTCTGATGACTGAGTGGATAATGTATGAAAATTGGCCTGTTATGCATGCATAGTAACTGTTTTCATAGCATATTTTTAAATATGACCATCTCTAGCAGAGCGTTGGCCTCTACTGCCAATAGATGTGATACCAAATATGGAGAGATGTGATGGAGCCATTCTGCTCTGTTGTGTTAACACACTTTTTAAAATACACACGTTCAGTACATGTTTCCCCTAATAGACAGCAGGCTCTTTACTGCTTCAGAGGGCTTTCCAATCAATGGAATCTGTACAAACACATTTTTAAAAGAAAACAAACAAACAAAAAGATAGAAATATTTAACCAATGGGCCATTTCTTTCTTCTTTCAGAGCTGTCCCAGTTTATCGGGTACATAATACACTTTTTAAAATAATAATAATAATAATAAATCAAATATAATCCTGAATGAGGACATATTACCTTGCCAGACTTGATGAGCTATGAACTGCTCCTGACTGATGGGTGAATAATATGGGGTGTTTTAAATAAACTTCTGTGATATTTTTTCTTTTGGTATAAAGGGAATTAAGTTCTAAAGAAGATCCGATGGAAATAACATTAAGATTGTGACACCAACTAAACCAGTGTCCAGATTTCAGAGTTCACTGGACCCCACCTCCTCATTCCTGACTAGCACTTTTACCTAGTTTTCCTTTCCCCCGATCCACGCACAGCATAACTCTGACCCCCTCAATCCTCCAGTCAGACCCAAGCAGATTTCACTGCAGGATTGTGGCTCATGGCCCAACTCAGCAAACCACCTCTGTTCAGGAAAACATGGTTACGTCCCATTCATTTTAATGGGAATTAAGCACATGTTTAAATGCTGTGATGAGCAGCGATGGACTACGGAATCAGGGCCTGGGCGTGAGCATCATTTGAACCCATCCCTTCCCTCCATAATGAGTACAGCTTTGAATTTCCTGGCTATGGCTGGTTCTCTCTTTTCTTTCCCCTTGTCACATTCTTAACATTATTTCAAGGTAGCTTTATGTATTTAATTGTTTTTTTATAATTGAAATTGTACATAAAGAGAAATAATGCAGTGGTTGTACACAGCACCTGGTTACACTGAGTGCATATGACGTTAACTTTGGGCTAGATCAAATTTGCTTGGCTTTATTTTCTAACCATATTTTAACCCTTGACATGTCAGCACATTGGAAAGAGCTTGGTTTTTTTCCTGTCACTTCTGAGGGAAAACCACAATTCCCGCAGTGTTAAGGTGCACCCATATCCTGCCAAGCTTTGGTCCCATTCACATAACATGCCAATCATGTGCAGGAGTAATCTGTACTCTCTGTGGGTGAATGTGCATGTATGAACGCAGGCACCACTGTAAACTCTATGGGAGTACAGGCAGAAATTCCCAGCCCTCAGGCCTGGCCTGGATTCCCATTGTGACAAATCTCCTGTAGTTTTCGGGGAGAAGCTAGGATTGGGTGGAATTCTGCCTCATGGCGCCCTCTACTGTGTTCAGCAGGTACCTATGGCAGGTCAGAATTAGCCACATAGGATCAGAAAAAGAAAAACAGCATTGATATGTATGAGCAAAATGATCATGTTAGTTTGACTCCAAGGGAAACAGTGCCCCCCACTAAAGCATGATGGTCTCTTGGTCTGAGCACAGGCTTAGAGGACAGGAATACCCAAACGCTAAGCCCAGCTCTGCCATTAAATCACAGTGTGACCTTGAGCAAATCACTCAACTCCTCTGGATCATATTCTGACAAGGTTTAAACTGGTGCAACGCCATTTATTTAAGTGGATTTTCACCTATTTACATCAGGTGCCAGTCCTGTAAACATTTATTACCGAGCATTGCACTGTTTAACCTTGTGCACTCCTTGGCTTAGTCACAGGCGTACGTGCTATGCTCGCTAGTAAGTGTTTGCAGTTTTGAACTCTTACTGTGGCTCTTTGTGTCTATTCCTCCATTTGTAAATAGGGGAGAATAAATCCTGATTTACCTTCCGAAGGTTTGGAGGGGAGGAATCAGTTAATATGTGCACAAGCACTTTGTATCCCATGCTACAAAAGAGATGAATAATACAAATAACAAGTTAAAAAACAGGTGGAAAAAATAATTTTTTGAAAAGTTCCAGAATTTCATCTATGCCAGAGGTTCCTGGCTGTGGTCCAGGAAGCACCAGTGATCTGTGGAGTGCTGGATGTTGACCTACAGAGAGCTGGCTTTTCATGTGGATCCAGTTATCCTTTTATCTAGCTGCTGAATGTTCCCCTAATGTTCCCTTTCCATGTAAGCCATTGCTGGGGGTGCTACTCAATGGCAAACGGGTATGGATGTGTCCATGAGAGAATCTGTCAGTGAAAGACCCACCTTATGAAACAATTTGACTCTCTCTGTTCTCAGTAGACTCAGTCATGCAATGTATTGAGCACTCTGCCTTGATCCAATAAAGCAAAGCACTTAAGCATGTGCTTAATGTTAAGCATGCGCATAGTCATATTTACTTCAGTGTGCTTAAAGTTAAAGGACATATTGAACTTCTTTCCTGGATCAGGGATGGAGTGCTCAGCGTCTTTCAGGATTGAGCCCTATCAGTGTCTGTTCCCAGACACATCCTGCAGCCTTGCAGCAGATCATTGTCAGCCCAAATTATTTACAAGTTGTCAGTTTCTTGCTAGATACCCAAGAAGTACAACAGGAAACTCTTAAACCTAGTGATGCAGTAGCTGTGGCTTTATTGGTTACGACTGGGGGATGTGTTTCATCACCTGTTATTACAGGGCAACATTTTCAGACATGGGTCATTGAAGTTAGGCTCCTAAAGCCATAGTTAGACACCTAGGTAAAAGGGATCTGCTATTCAGCAATGCTGAGCGCTCATAAATCCTGCTGAAATCAACAGGAGTTGCAGGTATTCAGCAGCTCTAGTAATCAGACCACCTCTACTGAGGTGCCAAATCTGGGTGTAGGAGAAGATTGTCACAGACTCAAATAGTAGTTAGGCCTCATAACGTCCACTAAAAGTTAATAGGAGTAAAGGTCCTGATCCTCAAAGGTATTTTGGGGCCTAACTCCCATTAATTTCAATGAGAGTTTGACCCAGATCCTCAAAGGTATTTCAGCATCTCAGAGCCCTACTTGCCTTTGACTTTCCTGCCGGAGGAGCCAAATTTTAGGCATCAAGACTCGATAATTTGGTCATATATTTGTATTTAATTTCCCTCTACCCCTTCTTGAAAAGCCACCAAAAAATTAGTTTTAATTAATTCCTTTTGTCCCTTCTAATTTGTTTTTCCTTTTGATCCTCAAAAATAGTATCTAAACAAAATACATTGACACACAAAACTGTGTAATTATAACTATTTTTACTCGAATTGTGTGTACAATTTGATCTAGCCCTTTTACTTGTTCTTACACCATTCTTTTTCATTTCCTGACTTGGTTTCATCATGTGTTTCTTCTTTTTAAAAAAAATTTCCATCTATTGCACAGTATTTACAAATAAAAATATTGTAAATTATTTACACACACACACACACACACAAAAAGAATCAGTCCTGATGGCATAAAACCAATTTGTTTTCATTACTGAACTATGATGGCACTTAAGATCACTTTAGTAAATGTAATGTAAAAAATAATAATAATGTGTACGCAAATTTAATATACATGGTCTCATGTAAGATACATATTTGCCTTTTTTTCTAAAAGATGTATGTATTCTGTAAGTGGAATAGTCTGTAGAAAGTTTCTATATGTTCTTAAAAATGGCAATACATTCCAAAAAAGGTACTGTAAATATGTACAGTGTACAATGTAATTTGGTAGTTTTGCCTGTAATTTTATTTTAACTCCAGTTTCTACATTTGCATCTTGCAATGTCTGTATGGTTATATCAGTGCAAAAAAAAACAAAAAAAAAAAACGGGGAAAAAAATGCAGGTAAAAAGCACAGAGTCTGATGTAAAAAGTGAGAAGAAAAAACAAAAGGAAAAAATACTCAGTATTTGATGTTTGTGACCCTTGTTGTAAATGACATCTGTACTGTGAATGAGACGTTTTTACGAGTATGCTATTGCCTTTACTACCGCTCGAGGCTGTCCGCTCAGTCTGAGCATATTTTTAAAAAAATAGCATGTTGGAATAAATTTTAAAGTCCCAACATATCACTACTTACGTGACTGGCAGTTCTTAATTTTTTGCTTTTATCCATTCATAGACTTGGGCTTCAGAATCACGGAGCCAAATTCTGGATAAAGGGCCGTGCATTGCCGTACACACAGGCCAAAGAGATTGCTACTGAAAACCCCACAGCAGCTAGCCCGCTGAGGCAGAGCAACTTCGCAGTTGTCTTTTCCAGTGTTTCCTACTCAAAATGGAGGACATGCTGCAGCGTGGTAAATGCTAGGGTGAAATCCGGACCCTATGGGAGTTAATGGCAAATTCAGTGGGGCCAGGATTCCACTCTATTTCAGTGGCAGCCATAGACTGAACAGGATAAACTCCACATGAATATTTATTGGCTTTGATTTTTAAAATGTGTCCATCCAATGCTCTAGGGGCCTTTGGAAATAGTACAGATTTTTTTTAACTTAAGTAAATTATTTCCCCCTTCCAAAACCATACACGTTGTTCGGAGCCCATCAATCAGCCGCAAGTTTCTCACCCACCCACCCAATATTTCCTTCTTGAGAAAAAAAAGCCTGTAACTTGTCTGTCACAGCCCTTGGGCACAGCCTGTTCCCACCAGGGAGAATTTAAGCAGGGGGCTGCATCTGCTAGAACCTAATGCCTGCTCCTGCTGACTTCAAAGGTACGTCTACGTGCAGGCCTTGCCCCGTGAGGCCCTTTGTTGGCGCTGTTGCTGAGGGCTCTGCAGAGCAGGCTCTCCAGAGGAACCCAACCAGGGCATGCAGCTTCCACCGTAGAGGCCTGCTCTCCCCTCCACCCCCAGTTCAGTTGCTGGTGAGACTGTGCATAGCACAAGAAAATCACCACGTTCCCCCTTGCCAAGGCCGGATTGATTCCCACAGATCCTTGCCAAAGGCTTTGTTTAAGCCTCTGTGTAACCCATCTGTGGGAAACTGTTTCACAGTCAGATCGGCTGTTTGCTTCAGAACTCCTCCTTGACGTCCCATCGCTCATTTTTATGTCGTCACACGGAGTCAGTGCTCCTCAGACCACCCCAGACAGGCTTTCCCCCTCCTGGGCTTTGCTGCCCTTCTGCTCTTGGAGGCGTGTATCGTAGCCCTCCCCCGCCTTAGCTGTAGGGTAGCCAAGTTATGAAGTTTTAGGGTTCGATCCAGCTGTAATTGGCTTGCGAGGCAGAGTGCCAGACACAGCTGTCAGCCAGGGAGATTAAGAGAGGCCTTTGGGCCTGAACATCAACCCTTCTGTCTAGTCAAACTGCCAGTGGGGGAGGAGTCGCCCAAGCCACCACCCAACGCCAGGGCCACACTGGTATTTTTAGTGTGTTACTTCGAGTCACGCAAGTGCACGTCTGTCTGCCCTGCTGGGAGGCTGGCTGCCTGCCACACTGCAGCCAGACCCTGCCTGGCTAGATAAGTGGAATTAGGGCGCACTTTGGTCTCCCCCGGTCATGCATGAACATTCTGACTGGGCCAGTCGGCAGGTTAGTGCAAGGGGAGCTAGGAGACAAGATGGTATGTTTATAGAGATATAGATCTTTTTTGCCCGAGGCCATGCAACCCAGGGGGTATCAACCAGGGAAGCCAGCTGCTGCTTATCTAACTGTAAGAGTCCATTTCAGGAATGATTAGCTCCCCAGATCATTGCTTTCTGAATGCATAAATGTGTAACCCTTCTGCCCATCAGAGTTGGCAGCAACAAGGACCGGGTTCAATATCTAGGGGGTCCATTCCAATAACACAATGCAAACTGGCTCGAGCCCCCACCCAGTGACCTGGGACAAATATATACCACCCCCGCTGGGCGCCTCCAAGAGGCAATACTTCCCCTCTCGCAAGCACATAGTCTGAGTGTAGCAAAAAGCCTTTTAATAACAGAGAGAAACAATGTGGCATTATGTTGGGGAAACACCACCAATAGGATTCATAACACAACCCATGAGCAAAAAACCCACCCCAAGCAAATTGGGGCGTGCCCCTTTCCCTTTGGTTCTTGAGTCCAGCAACCCCAAATCACCCAAAGTCCCAAAAGTCCAGTGGCCCAAAAGTCTCTGTCCCTGGTCAGGGCAGCCCCAGAGTTCAAAAGTTTATCTGCAGAGCTTTACCTCCCAACCTGGGTGGAGATGGGGGGAGGGGGAAGAGAGAGAGAGGTAAGGGGCACCTTCCATGATCTGAAGCTGACCGCCCCACAGCTCCATAGGCCTTTGCTTCGCTCCGCTCCGCCCCACCAGCCGCCCCACGAACTGCTTCGCTCAGCTCAGCTCTGCAGCCCACAAGCAGTTCCCGCCATCCCATGAACTGCTCCGCTCCGCATCCCACAAGCAGCTCCCACCGTCCTATGAACTGCTCCACCAGCCTGTCCACAAGCCACTCCAGCCATCCCGCAAACTGTTCCACAATATATCTTCAGGCTCCCCCACTACTTAACACAACACTCAGTGATTTCAGCTCTTAGGTGAATTCAGCTTGTAGTAGGGGAGCCTCAGTGCTGGTGCACCATTAGCCTAAAGTGAGCTCAGCAGCCTGTAACTAGACTTCTAATGAAATCAAAATTAGCTCTGATATTCCACAGTGGAGAAAGGAGGAAGTGCAATTATTATGTAAAGCCCTCACTAAGGGGGCCCATACCACCAAGTATTAATACTTGTCCCCAACCTCTCTCAATTCACAGTTTTGGAACCCATGTCCTTTGCCTAGCGAGTGCTGCTCAGTTGATGGCGAGTCCCTCCATCATAACAAAAGGCCCAGTACAGTTCCAAGCACAGTTCCCATAGTCAGGGTAATAACAATTTATTCTTCCTGCCCCAGTAACAGAGACACTGGGGATCCCATAGCAGCCAAAGTGACCATTTGGGCAGCTATGGGCTCATTCTAGGTGGGGTGGGTGTGCCTATGCAAATGAGATCAGACCCTGAAGTTCTTTTCCACAACTTGCCACACCTCACCACCAGATGTCAGGGTGGAGCTCATCTTGACTCTGCTTACAAATGCATTGGCCCTAATGTTGGCTACTCTGGACAAAAATGCTGAGGGATGGGGCGGGACGGTTTGGCAGTTCCTATATGCAAGTAATTTATTTGGGAGGGGGAGGTAAGGGGGTTTCTCACTCCTCACCTTGGAAGCCTACCCCACTTCGCTGGAAGTACTCCTCCTCCCATGTATTCCTCACCTGTTCTGCACCTCCAGCATTAACCCAGATGGCTCACGTGCCCTGTATTTTGGGGGCACGTAGTGATGACTGGACCCGTTTGGGGGTAGTGGTGGGGGGAGAACAGAGGTTGGTTGTCCTGCAGAGTCTTCCCTAGAAGTTCCATTTATAGGGAGGTAGTTTTGCCTAGTAGATAGTGCACTGTACTGGGACTCAGGAGACATGTTCCAGGCTGTGCCATGGGCTTGCTGGGTGACCTTGGACAAGTTCTTTTCTCCAGCTGTAAAATAGGGATAATACTGACCTCCGTGGTAAAGTGCTTTGAGCTCTACTGACAAAAAGTGCTATGTAAGAGCTAGGGGTCATTATTACTACAGAGAAGACTTGGATTCATGAGGTCAGAGGCAGCAGGTAAGTGCAGGGTTCACATATCTTGGGGATTGGTCCTGCTTTGAGCAGGGGGTTGGACTAGATGACCTCCTGAGGTCCCTTCCAACCCTGATATTCTATGATTCTATGATATGTTTGGGAATCATTTCTGGGCTCCAACAGCCTGGGGTTTATGGGGCTTATGCAGGGACATGCCTCGGTTTCAGTATCTGGATGCTCACTGTGCTCTCCCTATGCCCAGCTCACCTGCACAGCCCCACGCAGGATCCATGCCACAGCCGGCAGTACGTGTGGGTCCAGTGATTCAATCTGGTCCCCACTCCCCCAGGTAATCCCACTGACTCCAATGGGTCTAGTGAGAGCTAGGGCTATGGTGCAGATCCTCAGAAGTATTTAGCTATATCACTGTCAATGGGACTTAGGCACCTAACTATATGTGTCAGTCAGGATTGCAGAAGGATTGGACCCTCCATTAGCCCAGGGACACCTGTTATTTTCCTTTGTGGTCGTGCAGGATGGAGCCCGTGGGGCAGCAGAGTTTGTTCCAGCTACCCTGCCAGCTCAGTGGATGGAGAAGTCATTTTCTCCTTCAAAGAACAGTTTTGCCAGTGCTTAAAAACAGAGACACTCTAAAGGCAGCCAGGGCTGTCTGAGGAAAGCTGCAGCTAAACCCTGGTAATCTCTCAAACCTGGAACCAATTTGGTTTACATGAATCTCCAGAGTGGCTCAAATTAATCAGGTGTCCCACAACATGCCTGAACCCTCCGAGTCTTTATTTTCTAGACACAGAGACTAGACATTTCCTCCCCTGTGAAGCCAAACGTATTGTCAAAATATGAAGACTCCTGGCTGATATTACAGCTCAGGGCCTCCTGGGAAACTTGGTTACCAATCAGCATGTGAAGGAAGGACTGTTATGACACTAAATCAACACTGCTCACTGAGACGCTAACATTTCCTTGGGTCTTTTGAATCACTCAAGTATTAAGGTGACTTGGTATCCTTCTCCCACTAATGATTACTGTACCTCCTACAACCACCTAGCAGCTGACCCCTCAGTTCTGGAGAACAAGGAGCTCCTGTATCAGACACTGCAGCCAAAACACAGCCTCAGCAAACTGTAGGTGAAATGAGGACTGAAACCTGGAGTCCTTGGCCCCTCTGCTTTGTGGCCACAGCACTGAATGAGCCCCTCCAGCCAGTCCAAGTGTAAGAACAGGAAGAGAAAGCCAAGACAGTGCAACGTTCAGGCTTTCTTCTTTCCGGCATGCCTACTCTTCTCTCGCATCATGCACCTCCTGAGGTGCACTGCTCTAAATTCCCATATGGCGTTCTACTCTCGCACGACCCCCGCTGGGAAGATATTTATCGTAAAATCCTCAATAGCTCTCTTCTCAGCTTCATCCTAGCTTAAGGCCCAGCTCAATGGTGCTGCTAGGAGAAGCCTGCGTGGGGAATGAGGGCGTGAGCGATATTCTT